ATTTCTGTGTTACCAGCGTTCCAGGTTAGAGTCTGTTAGACTTTGCCAATAAACAGGGTGGGGCTGGAGGGACACCCCGGGGCTGGAGGCGGGAGAAAGAGCTTGATTCTTCATCTGTGTTCTCTGTAGCTTCCTGTTCCTATGAGCACCACCCAGCACTGCTTCTTCACCTCACAGCAGCCATTCCGCCCCATGGCACCAGCCAGCACCAGCTTCTCTAGGTCCCAGGCCTTGTGCGCATCCACCAGATGCCACAGCAAGGAAGATACCTGTGGAGAGTTACGCTCTGGCTCTTTGACACTTTAGGCAAGAAGTGATATGTGTCCCTTCCTCCCACAGCCCATTAGCTAGAATACGTCATGTGGTCTGTCCCAGGAGGGGGCTGGGACATGTGGGGAACAGAAGGAGAGTGTGGCGAGCACCAGGATGTCAGACACACACTCCATTCTCTCTCAATAGACCAGCTTCCTCGTCCTGTCAGAGTGTGTCCTCATCAGCCTCCAGCACTGCCTCAGAAGCTTCTCAGGTGCACATTAGAAATGCCAACACCTGGCCCCACGCGGGCCTTCTGAGTCAGAGCTTCTGAATCAGGGTCTGGGAATCGAGTTTGCATAACCCTCACTCCTCCAAATGAAGTCTGAGAACCAGGGTTGGCGTCTGTTCTGCAGAGTCCGTCCGACTGTTATGGGCCAACCGAGCAGCCTCCCACCACCACCACTGAAAAACTTTTACGTTTTCTTTCCTGTAGAAATGTTAAGTCTCCTTCTACCTAGTTTCTTAGTTCCTTAGCTCCTGGTTTTGATTACTCTTCTAATCAGTTTCTAGATCCTAGGCTAAAGATTGCTCCTAGCCTGAATCATACAATTCTCCTATCCCCCTGCTTCTTGATTGTTCTGTAAATCAGTTTCTTAATCCTAAACAATAAATTGTTCATAGAAATCTCCTACCCCTGCTTCAGATAACTACTTAAAAACTTGTGACTTCCCAACATCCCTCAAGCCATCCCGGACCTAACTTTTGGACAATTCCATCCCAGAGACTAAATAGGTTTTAACATTTCCCCAGGCCAGTAAGCCTAATGATTTTTTCCAAACCATTCTGGGCCCAGACAATTGACACCTCCTGAGTGACTGGTTGAATGGCCACAGGCTCCATGAGATCTAACAGATTTATTAATTAAAATCTATTTTTTTTCTCATTCAGGGGCCTTGGGGATACAGATGATACCCCAGCAAGATTGCTAGTCACAACCAAAGAAGCCAACACAGTCTTCCAGATGGATCTCAAGACTCCTTCCTCTCATCTGAGATCAGCTAGGATAAAAGTTCCGTGAATCCCCCAATAGGCAGTCACCCAATAGGCAGGGACAGCTCTATGCCCCTGCCCAGCAGGAAGCAGATACAGAAGAAAAGACCTCCTGTCCCTCAGTTTCCCATAGAGATTTTATGGGGCTCACGTCTGTCAAAGGGAAAAAAAATTGGGTCTCTGCATGTCCCACAGAATGCACCACCCAAAAGACCTCCCCTCTCCAGGATAGCCTCTTGTCAATCACAGGTGCCAATCAAGTGGTCCCATGCCCAGAGAGGAACAGCCCATTCTAGAGAAAAAGAGATAAAAACTCCAAGTCCTGGAAAGTCCCCTCCCTTCCTCTTTTTAAGCCTTTT